CACAAACACAACACATTCTCGTTTCTCGATGCGAAAATATACATCAATAATTTAATTTGATATAATGTAAACACTCGAATTCATTTCGATGCATGGATACTTGGAATCATTTCATTAGCCAAATCTGGGCCAATCGTTTCATCGCTAAAGTTTTGTATAAACAGACTCTGGCTCAACTGCCAATAATATAAATTTGTATACTCGGTTTCACTCTCTCCCTCTCTCTCAATCTCTCTCTCTATGCCATTCTCACTTTCATTATTCGGCTCATCGAGCTCAAATGGCAATCGCAGCCGAGCGGCTCGGTTAGCAATCAATAACGTGAATAACAAAGTGAATATTTGCTCAAATGCTCATTTCCATTTATCAAATCAAAATCGCTTATTATTTAAACATCTTCGAGTGTTCTTGATCCCAAGCACACCAATGCCAATGCGTCTCCCTCCCAATCTCCATTGTCGCAAAATTTATTTTACATCTGTTTTAATTGAAAACGGAGCCGAGCCGATCGGATTACATGCGCTCTGCGCATTCAAGCAATTTCATCAAATTAGGTGCGTGTAAGCGTCAAAATGTGTGACGGGATCTCTTTCTCGTTCTCTCTGTCTCAACTCGGGCACAGAAAAAAGAAGAAAAATATAAAAATATTCCTTCTTCGCTCACTGCCGAATGACTGTTGCTAGGTACTAAATAATTTATTGCTAATTTCAATATTTAATGATGGATAAATCCCATCACACCAACGTTTCCTGAACAATCGTCCTGAACGGATCAACTTTTCAGCATGAGAATGAACAGTCGGTGTTATGGTCTTGGCCGCATGGCATCGCAAAAACAGACAAATTGAGCAGGCACATATTTGGTGCGCATGTTGATTTTGGTCTTGCAAACCAAAATCATAGCAAAAATCTGTTTAAATTCTATGCCATGGCACAGCTCATATGGGATCAACTCACTTATTAAAAGTCTGATGAAAGTGTGTGTGCGTATGCAATGTTAGCGATTATCTTGTCTGATTGCGTAACTAAACACCGTGTTTAACCCTTTGACGACCAAAACTGAACGGCTGGGAATTTTGCAATCCTGATTGCAGATTCGTGCTCAGCGACCCCAAAAATATTAACAAAAGTGTTATCGAAAATTAATTTTTTTAATTGCAAATATGAAAAAAATGATGGGACATATGTGTCCCATTGGTCGGTAAAGGTAACTATTTACCTTTATTTTTCTATGAAAAAAACATGTCTCCCATAAGAACTACGTGTAAAATCTTTTCCATTTTTAAAATTTATAGAATCGTTTTAAACCAAAAATGGTTTGAATCATGCTTTGTTGTGCCCATTTAATCACGAATTTAACGATCTTTTTGTAAATTTGTGTGTTTCAAAATTCGCGAAAAGTGGTTGAAATACAGGGAAATCAGTGGTAATTATTTACCTTTACCGACCAATGGGACACATATGTCCCATCACGCCACAAGCAATAAAAATTTGAAACAAAATTTTTTGTAGAAAAGGCGATTATCCTTAGAAAGTAACAGACACTCCGTACAACATTTCCAATTTTCAGCTTTAAAAGTTGTACCCTTCAAATTATATAGGGTTTGGCGGAATTTGAAAAGAAAGTTAAGATTTTTCGACTTTGAAGTGTTCTATTTGAGCACAGTGATGTAAAATATCCAATATTATGGTACATTCTGGTAGCTACATTCATTCTCTTTCAAAAGAAACCAATTTTATCGAAATCGGTCTAAAAATGTGGAAAATATTGACGAAAAACAAAATGGGACATATGTGTCCCAAAGGTCGTCAAAGGGTTAACAGCCGTTGAGCTAACTTGCAACCGTTCATTTCGTATCATATTGATATGTGAGAGGATGCATGAACTGGAGAGAGGGAGCGCGAATGAGAGCAAACACACACTTTCTCACCGAAAAATAGTTACAAGTTCATAGATGCGGCAAACATAGACGAAACATTCAAGCTCAAACATTTCATGTTTTGGTTTTGAATAAAAAATAAAACATTCGGTTGGCACAACTTTCACTTTAGTTTTGCTTGTGTGTCATAAATTATTTACTACAAAATTACGGGATATTCGCACACAACACGAGCACGCACAACAAGGAGCAGAGCGATGAAGCGAAATGGCGTGCCACCAAAGTAAACCAACAAACGCGATTAAATATATGTATGGGAATTGGTATTGCAAAATGCCTTTGCTACCGCATGTTTTAGCATTTTACTCGACATTTAGCAGCATCTGATGGTGCATATGTCATGAAAAACGATTTGAAACTGGGCTGGAATTCTATGACATTCCATCAAAATCGTTCGGAATTATTTTTTTCGTACGTAAGACTATATTGGAGTGAAAGAGAGATATTCCACTAATTTTCATTATCCCAGCCAAATTATTGCGATAACTATCACCCTTCCTTGAGTTATCGGAATAATTCCGGTAGAAAGATGAAAATCAGATTTTGGTGGAATGTCATGGAATTCCAACCCTGGTTCGGCTTGTTGCCGGCATTTCATCCCTGCCAACATTATATATATTCTGGCTATAGAAAACGGTATGGAATCTAATTAGTACACTACACGGGTGAAAGGTTATATATAGATGAGACACATGCACAGTGTGGAGATTCGATTGAAAATCGCTCATGACCATAAATGCCTGCAAGCTCACCAAGTCCTCTTAAAATACCCAACCATACATTTCGCATACATCTGTTTGATATCACATTTCCCTCGCGCTCTCCTACTCCGAGTTTCATCGTATATGCGGAAGTTTCAACATAATTAACACCGTTACGTTAGCATTTAGCTGTCGGCTTAATCTAATATTCAATTTTACCCTGAGAAAACTTGGTATATAACGGCAAAATTGGTTTCTCGGAATGTTTCTCGGAAACTTCAACAGAAGAAATCGGTGATGAAATTCTGCGTTTAAAAAAATGGCATGAGGCAAACGCCAATCGAGTCGAATTTGCCTTGAATTCAAGTGGAAGCTTTTCTTCGGGAAAATCGACAGATTCTTGTCGATTGCAATTCTTGTTAAAAATTTGTTGTGTACATGTGTGTGCGTTTGTGGCTTGATTTGAATTGCCCAATATTTTCGAAGATTTACATGAAATGAGGCTTATTAGATACAAGTAAGTGACCTGTTAATCCATGGTAATCAAAGTATTTCACAAAGATCGGCATTATGATGAGCTCAAACCAATCTTTAAGCTTTAACCAATCGTCCCGCTATTTCATTAAATGTATACACGTCAAAGTACTGTGTGCACGATTAGAGAGAACTGGGGATAGCGGGTTGAGAAGTGGTATGACGGTATGGTGGCAAAATGTGCACCAAACACAATTTGCTACATGAAAAAGAATCATGTTTTCTAAGTTCACGTAAAAATACGGACAAGTGAACGCAAGGGTAAATGGCTTTTTGGATTGGTATTTATCATGTGGTGCGAGCAAACATTGTACACGTATTCGTAAACTGGTCGCATCGCAAACGCAAAACCATTTCGTACAATCGTGTAGACACTTTTGTGCAGCAAAAAAAACAAGTTTTTCTGCTGTGTGCTTAATACACACACACACACACGAACACCAACATCAACCGTACCAATTACGTAGTGCAAACAACTTTTTCCGAAACTAAATAAGGCTTTGTTGCACGCGCGAACGACCCATTTTCACGAGTTGTAAACAGAAACAAAGTTACAATGGGTTATCACCCGTATTCTCGTTCTAAAATCGCAAACATCGTTGTCATGCATACATAGCCATAACAAGTGGCGCATACAAAACATAGAACGAGCAAGCGTTTCACTGATCGCACACACACAGTCAAAGCTGTACGGTTTTCTTTATTGATATTTTCATTTGACATGTTATTTTTTTCTCTCTCAATCTCACGCAAAAAGGAAGAGACAAAAACACATTTGGTTACGGTGAGATTAACATAACAACACCTATCACTATTTGTCCAGTCACACAGTACGGATTGTTTTTTGCCTGCTCACTCGTCTATCTTGAATTTGCGTAGCTTCCCAACGGATATTCGTTCTGGTCATGCCAGGTGATGCCGTCCGTTCTCATAACGTTCGCACAGTGTGTGCGCGAGAATGAAACGGAGAAAGCACATCAAAATGGGAGATAAAAAGAAGCGGAATGGAGAGAGAGAGAGAGAGAGAGAGAGAGAGAGAGAGAGAGAGAGCAAGGAGAAATTAAACCAAAGCCAAATACACGACAGTAGACGAAAACATTAACTTTGCTCTCAATTTATTTTTGCTACTTGTGTTGTGTTGTTTGCTTTGTTTGTATCGTCTGCGGCTGAGTCTTTTTAATCTCAATGATTCCCAGCATGTGTATAGTTTGTCTGTATTTCTTTCGTTAATTCACTGTTTCACTGAATCTCGAGCTATGCTTAACACAATTGACGCGGTATGTGTGTGTGTGTATGTCTGTGCACTCGCGCTTTTTTGTGTGCTGCTCGGTTACATCTAAAATCCCTTGACATTACTGAACCAAGCACCGGTGTTTCGCATATGTTTCAGTTACCTTTATTTATATTACCTCGATAATATTCGTATATTCTGTGTCTTTACGCAAGAACAACAACGGAAAAAACTGTATAAAATTATACGACACACACTGTAAGTCTGTGCCACTTGAAGTCTTCTGTTCGGTTATGTAATTGTTCGTTTTTGCGTGCGACTATCGGGCACATCCGCATAGCATTTTATACTCTTTCACTCACTTATTCGGACTCCCATGTATGTGTGTTTGTGTATATGATGAAGAAGTTGTCAACATTCCGGGCGAAATAGAGATTTTGTCGTCGTCGTCGTTGTTGTTGTTGTCGCTGATGCTTTTTTGTTTCTTTGTTTCTTTTACCAGGGTTTTGCGCTCTTACTCTTCTTCAAAATGCTGAGCTTACGATAATGTGAATATATATAAGGGGAGGAAAAAGTGAAATGAGATTTAACTTACCTTCACCTGCTGATAACGGAATGTGAACCAAGCAGCTGGCGGTAGAAAACCAATAACGGCACATGCCAACACTAAAATACTCGTTCGCATCGGCCAATTTAGAGCAGCAACACACGGTGAAGCATCCTTGCAGGCATCACATCCTTCGGCGCACGGCAAACATTCGAATGTATTCACATTATTGTATAATGACATCTCTCCCTGGATATTATTAAATTTTTGGCCGCGTTGACAATTTAGCGTTTCGCGTTGCGAAAGCACAATGTAATGTCACCATCACCACCATTGCCACCACCACCGATGTCACCATCGCCACCAATTTCAAAGGAGCAACCGAATTGACGCATCCAATTTTATTGGATTGTTTTTCCGTTGGCAAACATTTTCGATGGTTATGGGCATTTATATAGCAGCATCATTGTAACATGTGTCAAATTGAAAATCGGCAAACGAGCCCAGTGATGATTATCATTTTGGGAATATCGCGTTGTGCATCCAGATCATAGCAGAACAGCATCAGCGAAAGAAGATTTAAAAAAAACGAGACAAGAACAAAATTGAAAACACAATTAGTAAATACTATCTCTTTTAACAACAGTACCAGCAAGAAGTTGTTCTTCAGCAGAAAAAAAAACAACGAAGATAGGAACAAAGATTAAGTTTAGTAAATGAGTTTTTGCTAATGAAAAATGTCATCATCAATTTGAATAGCGTTCGACACATTCCTTCATCTTCCACACTATTCCGCAGCGCTTCTATAACTATCATCATCGTCTCACTCTCTACAGCTTTTCAACGTTCGCACATGTCATAACGTAAAACGATCATATTTATTAAGACATTGTAATTTATGCGCACATCCCAAGAATTAATCACTTTAAATAGTTTACCCATAATATTGTCAAGTGCAATACTCGTTCAAGTGTTTAATTTTCAGCATACAGCAACAATCGATGGCAAAGTGACACACTAAAAGAAAGATTATAGCGAAATCGGAACGAACAAAGAAAGAAAAATGTGACGTTGAATGATACAAAGCTTGAAAGTCATGGGAAACATCTTCATTCAAAGGGGAACGTTGCATAGATGATAATAATATAGAAAACCAGTGTGTGTTTGTGTGTATGCTATGGCATTCTATGTAAGCAGTGCTAACTTAGAACCCATTTACTTCATTTTTACGAAAGAGTATTCAATATTTTTGAAAGAGCTTATGTAAAACAATTTGAATTATCAAAAATTTTGAGTGGAAAAACATAGGAAAAGTAATATTTGAATCTTTGTATGAGTAAAAGTCATCTTCCAACCAATTCGTTTTTCTTCACATAAAATATACTTCCAAAGATGTTGGAACCCGAATGTTGAGCGTTGACAAAAGTTCGAACAAATTCGGCGAATAACATCATAAGTATAATATAACTTTTATCAGGCTCTTGGTGGGAATGATCATAAGCGAATGTTCTTTCGGAAATGCTAAAAAGTAACGGCAGAAGATTCGGTGCATTTTGTAAGAGTCATATTTTGTTTTAAGCACTTTCATTAAGACAACAAGCAGATATTGGAATGTTCATCTTTCGCAAAAGTTCAAGTATCAACCTCTTCATGATATGAAGTCAAGTGATGACTCATTACTGATGACAAACGAAATTCGGAGAATTTGCCAACATCGTGAAATAATGGACAGAGTATTGAGTACGCTGGCTATCCAGCCGCGGCTATTCAACAGCCGCCGTCAATGCATTTGGTAATGGGAAGAAATAAAGGGACGTTTGATTCATTTTGTCCCCTATACGAAATGTGTTGACGGCGGCTGTTGAACCAATGGATGCCGACAAACTGATAAAATACTTGCAAAGTTGACTCCAGTGCCACGCAGGGGCGCAATCAGAACTATAGAGTAACATACGATTGTGTATGTCATTCATAAAGCGAAGAGTCTTCGCTGTTATCCATTGTTTTGAAGAGCACCGTAGAATGGTAACGGCTGGATAGCCAGCGTTCTCAATGCTCTGATAATGGACGTACAAATTTGCTCCACTAAAAATTAGTGGAATTATAAATAATGCTATATTCAAAGCACAAATCTCTTCTTGAGCATAATTTAAATCTTGAAGCAATTACAATCGAGTGAACAGTACTTGACAAAATCTTACATTCAAGATAGAATCATTTTTCGGCGAAAGAAAGAGCAAAAACAAAACTCAAAGACACACACATTTTTGAAGGGTCATTCTTTAAACGAACAAAACGATACAATTTGCCCCATTTGTAACAAATTCAAGTGGCATTTTCACAGAATATGTGCTACGTATTGCGCTTGCATGATCTTTGGTTGCGGATACCATAACTTGGTTGCCATTGTCGTTTTGGGTGTATGTATGTATGTGGGAAGTGTCGTTTTGTGTGCGCCGAACAAGCGTAAATCTAATGTCATAGGTTTTTAATAATGTCTTTGCTTATGCTCGATGCAAACAGTGAACGGAGGCAGAGCGAGCGAGCGACAAAACGCAGGAACATGTGACGAAAAGAGAGCGGGAGCGAGCAAGGAAGATGGACTACCGAAGAGAAGAAAGACGAAGAGAGAGGGAGAGAAAGAGAAAAAGGCATGAGCCCGGATAATTTAATGGTGATAACAATAGTGATATTAAGTAGTTTACTTTTTATCAGCTATAAACAAAATCCCAGATGGTAAATAATTGGAACCGCATGTGTGCATATTGCCGATACGTTACATGCCATTGGGTGATATGAAAGTTTCTCTGTTGTTCTCATGTTCCAACATAATGTTAACTCACAAACACAAAATACAAAACGCACACACACACACACACACACATATGCTGCACTTCCCCAGGAATTGCTCACACATAATAATATCTTTGTGTAAAAGAATACTTTTGAATTGTGTATACACGATGCGCATACAATTTATATTTTTTCCGCTCTACAATCAGATTACTTGTCCTTTTTTTCCGTTGCTCTCAAAAGGCAAACGTACACAGAGCGGCGTGTAATCTAGTAGGGGAGAGCTTTTGTAATCTAGTTTCAAGTACATCACATTAAGCAATCGTATGATGCGTGGCACAACTTTCAAAATAAATATTCCAACTTCTTAGTCTGGTTATCCAATGAATTGAAGCAACAATGTTAATGCTCTTAGTCAATGGGGATTCGTTTTATTTTCATTTTTTGAAGAAAAAAAAAATGGAGAGCACAATCTATACCATCTAAATGAAAATGGTTGCCTTTGTGTAGCCAGTTTTGTTTTTCGCTGTCCCCTCTCCATTTCTCATCATATTTCAACGTGATCTCTGCCGCTCATGTTGCAATCATTTAATTGGATAAATGGAAGTTATGCCATTGTCATTATGACAATTTCATTTACTGACTTCCATACGGTATCCCATTAAAATCCAAACGAGATGATTATAATGATGTGGTAAAATTTTAAATTAGCACAATGCACAAAAGTAACATTGCTCAGAGATGCGAACGAGCAAAAGCGGCATACGAGAGATTTAAATATGTAAAATGCATGTTAAATTGTCACATGTATGCCGGTGGAGAGGGCGCAGGAAGGTGGTATCAGAATAGGTCATTCCATGATGATTCGCCTGATATCCGCCAGCATACACATTTGCATAATGCATGCATATCAATTGTAAACATGTAATATGCCATACCAATAAGACATGCATGGCTATGGGATTTTAAAAAAACCGCTCTCCAATGCAAAAGAGAAGCTGCCTACAATGGCAGAGAATGAAAAAATAAAACGAATACCCGTACACCCACAATGTGGTTTTCTCGAGATGCAAATTCCGCTCCGTTTTTTCTCTCTTTATTCTGTTAAACGGTAATAATGATAATAACAACGAATGGGATTAAAGTCTAGCATCAACTTTTGAAATTATGTAATGGAATAACGTATGTTAACGCATCGACTACTCTTCTTCTGTCACACATGAATCTCATTTTATGATGCTCATGCTGAAGAACAGCAACCACTACATTTACAACATAATGCAAAAGAAGCCAACGCAGATTTTATTCCTCTCGGGTTGAATTTTTTTTATTACTCATCTCTATTTATCTTCTTTTTTTTTAGGTTGTTCAATTTTCAGCACACACACACATAAAAAAAAAGTCGTGGGAAGCGTGAGATTTTCCAAACTTGTACAACTGTTTAATGCACAAGATTTTACTAATGAGAATTACAGTTTAATCACATTTAATGCTATATTTTTTTAGACTTGTGCGAAAATTCCAGCATGTCGAAGTGTGGTATGGTCTCCATGCGATTCAAAATGACGGCACAGCAACATACAACGCGCAAAAACTTCATTTTCTGCAAAAGACGAAGTGTAATATTTCCCTCAAACTATTTGCAAGTATTTTATAAATATCAGGTTCGGATATATTCCCACTCGTTGAACGAAGAGAAGAAAAATTGGAATGAACAACCTCAAAACTTTTCTACAGTGAACTATTTTAAAATGAATATAGAATTTTGAAATTAAATTTTAGATATGCGATGCATGCTGATTTCATTTTGAATCAATTAAACGTGTCAGCATTTTGCTTCAGACAATTTTTTTCGTCTTCTCTCTTAAGATGCGAGGTGTATGAGCGAATAGATAAAATGCCTGAATTCCGCGCGCAAGTGGAAAACACTCATGTCATATGCTTGAAATCACTTTTCCGAAGTGAGCTTAATACCGATTTCGACTACATTCTGTCTCGATTCACGTAAGATGTGAAGTACTGGGGCAATTAGGAAATTCGCTGAAAATAATCTGTGACTAGACATTCAAATTGGAGTTTTAATTTAATGTAATAAATGTTTATTTTCTGTGGGAATATACCTTGCATATACTCCGGTGAGGAATGAGCAAAATAGCTTTTGATTTCAGTGCATAAAGTAGGAAGAAGAAGGATATTGAGATTATGACATCATTTCATTGGCTTTGGAAAATTATTTTGAACGAAAATGCTATATCATCCGAATATAAAGTGCAGCAACGATACACAACATTCAGAGAAATTATTGCTTTAGTTCATCTAGAGAAATGCGTTACGTTTCGACGGCATTGACAGTGTATTGAGACATTTCCTATTTCCACACACTGACATTGCAAACTCTTATTGTTTAAGTTAGGGGGTGCTACCATCCACCGAGTTCCAAACAAATACATTTACTA